ATTTGCTCCGCGACATTTGCTCCGACGTCAAATGCTCCGCCGACAGTTGCTCCGCCGACAGTTGCTCCGCCGACAGTTGCTCCGCCGACAATTGCTCCGCCGACAGATGCTCCGCCGACAATTGCTCCGCCGACAATTGCTCCGCCGACAATTGCTCCGCCGTCAATTGCTCCGCAAAACGCGACAATTGCTCCGCCGACATTTGCTCCGCCGACATTTGCTCCGCCTAAAGCGACACTTGCTCCGCCGACAATTGCTCCGCCGACATTTGCTCCGCCTAAAGCGACACTTGCTCCGCCGACAATTGCTCCGCCTGAAGCGACAATTGCTCCGCCGACATTTGCTCCGCCTGAAGCGACAATTGCTCCGCCGACATTTGCTCCGCCGACAATTGCTCCGCCTGAAGCGACAATTGCTCCGCCGACATTTGCTCCGCCGACATTTGCTCCACCGACTTTTGCTCCGCCGACAATTGCTCCGCCGACAATTGCTCCGCCTGAAGCGACAATTGCTCCGCCGACATTTGCTCCGACGACATTTGCTCCGCCCAAAAAGTGTCCCATAAACTACAAATGCTACTAGTACTACGACAAATGCTTCGCCGACAATATTTTCTTTACACCTATTTTTTTCGTTTCTTTTTTTCTTCTTCATTTTCTGAATGCATTTCTTGAAATAATGTAGATGAAATGAAATGAATGAATGTTGATGAAGTGGGAGGAAAAAGGAGTTACCTAAAAGTCATTTCGAATATACTGAAATAACTTTCCATCTATCACTGTACGTCCCATATAATGTATACTAAACACTCATTACATGTCGTGGGAAGTTTTTTTTTTAAAGTAGAGCAGCAAGCCACATTCCCCAATACGCGCATACCTCCTAGTTAATTTCAAGTAGCTCATCAATATGTAATACCTGAAATTACCTCGATCAATGCATCTTACTAGGTAAAGCATTATACAATGTAACAGGTCATCATGGAAGTTTAGAAAATAAGTAAGGGGGATTTACCAAGTGTTGATCTTTTTAAGAGTTTTATAAAGAAACAAAAAGATATTGAATATTTCTCAGCGAAAAAAAGGAACAAGCTTGTTTCGCATTTTAAGAAATGGCGATTTGACTTATGATACTCATGTTGATTTAACTTTTATTCCTGTGCCCCCTCACTCCCCTTTATGCACTGGAGTTCAAACTATGATTTATATGTGTACAGTGTATTTTTTTTTACTATAATGTTTTTTGTTTTATAACTTTATTGTCCTTTCATTATTGTTAGTTGTTCTTATACATATTGGTTTTTTTGTTTGTCTAATTATTACCAATGACTTGTAAATATGTAATTTTTATATGATTGAAAATTTAATAAACACACAAATATAAAAAAAAAAAAAGTTTAGAAAATAAGGGCACTTATATATGTAAGGAAGAGAACCCTTTCAGACGGGAAAATGAGATGGCAGCCTTTCTGCTTATTCACATTTATACAAATCATTTTGTTGCAGTTTGATGTTAGTTCTTCATGATAAGCCAATTGCTCTTCTTCCGGTGGCTTCGTGAGTCCCTTAAATTATTTAGTGAAAACAAAGTACTCGAATGAAACGGAGTGTTTTGCACACTAACATATATATATTAAAGCTACATACACTTAACTAAAGGAAAGAAACCTTTAGAAAATGGACTGGATATTATTGAAAATATTCTAAACAAGAATGTACTACATGATTGTATTACTTTACGTTTCAATTTCACGAGAGAAATAGAACTCGAGAGGGGGAGCAGAGAAGAAGTGATGGAAATGAAAGAAGACTAATAGCATGAGAGGAAAGAAAAGAGCAAAGAAGACAAGAAAACGGTGTAAACAGGAAAAGGAGGAGCATGGGAGAGAGAGAAAGAGAGAGAGAGAGATAGCCTTGAGCTTTGGATCAGCTAATGAGTAATACATGAAACAGATTTTGAGCGGAGTAATTATCTTTCGCCGGAGAACTTGCGTAAGGAGCTATAATTTTATTTTTTATTTTTTTAAATCAAACATTATGGGGAATAGCAAAAAACGGTTGTCTTTTTTGCTCTTTTCTTTCCTCTCATGTTATTAGTCTTCTTTCATTGAGGTAATTTCAGGTCTTACATATTGATGAGCTGTTTGAAATTAACTAGGAGGTATGCGCGTATTGGGGAATGTGGCTTGCTGCTCTACTTTAAAAAAAAAAAAACTTCCCATGACATGTAATGAGTGTTTAGTGTACATTATGTGGGACGTACAGTGATAGATGGAAAGTTATTTCAGTATATTCGAAATGACTTTTAGGCAACTGCTTTTTCCTCCCACATTATCAACATTCATTCATTTCATTTCATTTACATAATGTCATGAAATGCATTCAAAAAATGAAGAAAAAAAGAAAGAAACAAAAACAACCCGTGAAAAAAAAATATTGTCGGCGAAGCATTTGTCGTAGTACTAGTAGCATTTGTATTTAATGGGACACTTTTTGGGCGGAGCAAATGTCGTCGGAGCAAATGTCACCGGAGCAAGTGTCGCTTCATGCGGAGCAAATGTCGTCGGAGCAATTGTCGGCGGAGCAAATGTCACCGGAGCAATTGTCGCTTCAGGCGGAGCAATTGTCGGCGGAGCAATTGACGGCGGAGCAAATGTCGGCGGAGCAAATGTCGGCGGAGCAAATGTCGGCGGAGCAAGTGTCGCTTCAGGCGGAGCAAATGTCGGCGGAGCAAATGTCGGCGGAGCAATTGTCGCGTTTTGCGGAGCAATTGACGGCGGAGCAATTGTCGGCGGAGCAATTGTCGGAGGAGCAATTGTCGGCGGAGCATCTGTCGGCGGAGCAATTGTCGGCGGAGCAACTGTCGGCGGAGCAACTGTCGGCGGAGCACCTGTCGGCGGAGCATTTGACGTCGGAGCAAATGTCGCGGAGCAAATGTCGCGGAGCAATTGTCGCGTTTTGCGGAGTAAATGTCGGCGGAGCAATCGTCGGCGGAGCATGTGTCATGGAACCTCTTATACACCAAACGGTGGTTTACCGAATAACAGATGATGTCAGTCACTATGATTAGCCTTCCGTTTTATGACCAACATGCCTAACGTAATGCTTTGCATTTCCACATTTGGTAAAGTCAATATCTTAAATTTTCCTCCCCCGAAGACAGCCTTTTTACACACGATTATAATTCATTGTATCTACAGCTGATTAGTTAAGAGCTGTTAAATTAAACGGCTTTCAAGTAAATTTTTCCTGTGTGAACGTCGATTATACGATGTTTGGACAGATACGAACAACCTTTACGCACATGGGTAAAACTCTTAATTAGTTTAAAAAGCTTTAAACTAATCAGGTTTAGATACAACATCATTCACACCAAGACAAATTCGGTGCGGTCGTTGGTGATTCACGGCTCTGTCATTGCTCGTAAATGCGCAATGCATGGACCTACTGAGCGTTTAAAGAGCAGTGCCCGCCGAGTTAAGGACGTATATCCGTTCACACATACAATGTCTCGCTCTCTAGATACGGACTTATTATATGCAGCCTGCTTTGACCGGCGTATAGATCGCGACTTCGTATCGGTCAGAACATCGTATAATTGACGCTCACACAGGGAAAACTTAATTTAAAGCTGATTAGTTTAAAGCTATTTAAACGAATAAGCTTTTAATAATTGTACCCGTGTGAAAAGGCTGAGACGAGATGTTTCTCGTCTAGGGGTGTTTCTTGATTGAACCACGGGTCTGTTTTGTGCAGATTTGTACACCTGTAAATGGTATTACCAAAAAGTCTAATGTCAGCGAATTATGACCTTCTGCACATAGAAACGGACAACTCTCTTCCTTTCAGTCATAGGCCAAGAGCATTAGGTCAAAATAGGCTTAAACCTGGAAATTTTTGGTAACAAGCTGATTTTTTCAGGATAGCTCCAGGAATATGTCTAGAATAACATACTAAAAGTCCTCGTTGATCCTCCTTGAGCGTTTTCCGTAATCCAAGATGACGTCCAAAATGGCCGCCATTTCCTGAATTTCTTATAACTTTGCAACTAGATAACCCGAATACAAAATTTAAATGTCTAAAAATATGTTTTTTAGCATAAGGAACTCAATAAAATACTTGTTGATAAATTTTGAAACACACAACTAGCTATAAACCACTTTAGCCCTTCCCGAAATCCAAAATGGCGCCCAAAATTGCTGCCATTTCCTGAATTTCTTATAACTTTGCAACTAGATTACCCAAATACAAAATTTAAATATCTAAATATATGCTTTTCAGCATAAGGAACTCAATAAAATACTCGTTGATACATTTTGAAACACACAAGTGGCAGTAAACCACTTGAGCCCTTTCCGAAATCCAAAATGGCGTCCAAAATGGCCATTATTTCGAATTTATCTCACTGTATTAAAGTAGGAACGTTATGAATACAATCAAATGTCTATACCAGAAAAGCACTAATTTAAAAATCAGTATAAATAAACCTTTCATTAAATAATTAAATATTTCTTATACATATCGTATACAACCCACCCACCCACACACACATGCACACACATGGCTGCTTCCATCAGACTGACAGTGTGCAAACCGTGAAGAGTACTCAACGTTAGATGGAACTGAAAATGGAGAGACATTAGTACCAATTACTGTCGCAAAGGCAAACGTCACAAGGTTTCAAACAGGAAATGCACCTCAATAGCACATGCCATGTCATCTAGTAGACTAGGTCATTTCTGCTAGTAGACCAGGGGGGTGTTTCACTAAAGCCCTAAAATCGATTTAAAATCGATTGGATCGATTTTAAGGGCTTAACATTGATTTCGATTTTAGCAGCAGTTTCACTAAATAAATAAAATCGATTTTGGCCTTAAAATCGATTTTAAGTTAGAGTGTGATCCATATCAATTTTAAATCAATTTTAAGGATATCACTGCACTGTGCTCTCACTAGTAAGAGATTGAGACATTGTTGTCAGGCAGTTTTTTTTTTCTCAAAATGGCAGCACTTGCCTTAGTGGCACTAGACCTAGTACAAGGCCGAGACAGAATCAGGGTGGATAAGAGGGTTTTTCGTGATAGAACAAATCCTCTTGACATGTATAACGATGCTGAAATGCAAAAACGATACCGATTTTCTAGGAGAGGAGTCCTCCATTTAATTGGACTTCTTAATGTCGAGATCGACAACGAAACTCTCAGGAGCAATGCCATACCGCCTGCGTTGAAGGTGTTCGTAGCTTTGAACTACTTTGCAACGGGTTCACTACTGGCGAGTATTGGGACTATACATGGAGTCAGCAACAGTACAGCCTCAAGAATCTTAAGAGAGGTCGTGGTAGCCATTTGCAACCACAGAAAGGAGGTAAGATCTTTTAGTTTAGATTCTAGATCTAACTTTTTCTAATTATCATTCAGAATTCAAAAGGTTGAGTGTAGACCTAACTTAGATCTAGGATCTAATCATCTAGATCTAGTCTAGGCTTACTGAGTACAGAGAAGAGCCTGATCAGCCTCTGACTGAGGCTTTAATTTTGTTTAATAAACTTTATATGAGCCTCCTTAGAATAGACTTAGAGCTAGAAACTAGAAACTAGATCTAGAGTAGAGAGTCTAGTCTAACTTTAGATCTAGACTAGTCTAACGTTAGACTAGAGTCTAGATCTAGACTCTAGTTTTTTGGGGGGTCAACCCCTTGAAGACAAGTCAAGTTTATCAATTTGGGGGGAAATGATATCTGTTGATATTCATCTTATTATCTGAAACGTGTTAATTTTGTTCGTTTCAACGCGACTTTCATCTTAATTTCATCGCATCGCATCCATGTAGTCCCACGCACCAGTAAATGTGCAGCAGATAACCAACCAACTCTAAGCCAAGTTTACCTTGCCTAGACTGTATGATCCGGCGACAGCGCGAATAAGTGCTCCGTTGAAATAATACTAGTTTCTCAAAACCCGTAAAGATCGCGATCGAGCTGATCTTCGTAATTCATTTACAGTTAAAATCTGATGAAATATCAGCGTTCAATGAATTGTACAGATCTATATCAACCCTACTACTCACTCTGAAAAAGTTAATTCTCCAAACAACTTGCAAGATGGTCGAGAAGGGGCAACGTAGCATGCACGCACAGCTTTTATAACTAATTATTTGTACGTACGTACGTGCCAACAGCTACAGTACAGTCAAATCCAACCCTATAGAGCGCGCACTCGTACATATAGCAAGCCGAAATATACACTAGGGCAATTCCACGGTAACGGAAGGACACTCAGACAAGATTTTTGAACTTCAGGTTCATACTAAAAGAACTGTTTTATTAGTATAAGATGTGAAACAGTACAGATATAATACCTATATAAGTGCCTTTAATTCTCCCCCAAAAAATTGTCATTATAGTTAAGTAGTTTAAGAATGTGCATATTAATTATCTCGGTAACGGAAGGACAAAAAAATGGACATGGTTTTTCCAGTTAATTAGTGTTTATCCAAACTTTGTGAAGTTGATGAAGCTTTCCACTTGACTGAAACACATTTTGTTCCCCATAGTTTAATACATACTAATAAAACATTTCTTTTAGTATGAACCTGAAGTTCAAAAATCTTGTCTGAGTGTCCTTCCGTTACCGTGGAATTGCCCACTATGCAATTCATTTCTGGTGGGTCGATGGAAAGGGGGCACCATAAATTTAAGAGGGCACATCCCATTTCAAGCTAGCTCCTTGGATATATCTCAATGTAAGGGAGGAAAGAGAAATCAATTAACCGACCTCTAAAAAATATTGTACCTCGATCCTTTACAATAAGATGGATCCATGCATCAACAGCCTGAATGAAGATCACCTCCAAAATTATTAAAGAATCATGCAGTGCATGGGCTTGGAGTTGGTTGCCTGGGGAGCTCTGTCATACCCCCCTGAATTATATATACATAAATATCATCATAATTATGTAGCACTCCAAATTTCCCCAACCCCACCTCGAAAGCTGAAAGAACCATTGTTGTATACTCATCAGGGGCGGATCCATGCATGCATCCGGCGGCAGGGGAGGGGGCCCAATATAATTCGTGAGAAAATATTTAGCGGTGAAACAGCCGGCCGATAATTCACTCAGTGGGGGTTTAGGGGGGGGGGGGGGCAGTGAGCACTAATTTTTTGTTGGCCCTCAAAAAAAAGGTAAAAATTAACGTGTTTTTACACGTCCCCCCCCCCCCCCGATCCGCCACTGGTTGTACTAATACTATCCCACGGCAAGCTCACTCTATTTCCCCCACTTATCCTCTCAAATTACTTTTCACCAGTGTTCCGATCTTTCTTTCTAGCACTTTCTCATACAAATTTTCACCTCTCCATTATATCACTTCTCTCGATCTAACTATTACTTTATTCCTGCTATTACATTTTATATTACAATTGTCTTTGTCTCATACATACAATTTGATTGTAGACAAATTTAATGAAAAAATGCACCTGATGATTCTGTTTATACTTTCTAACATCAAAAAACATTTATTGATATTATATTTCAAACAATAACATTTATACATTGTTCAAATGTTGTATTTACAGAATAAAGCATTGAAATCGTATTCTAATACGGTAACATTTTTCACTAAAGATACATATTTGTTTAATTTAATAAAATTCATTGTTATATAATGAGTACTGAAAATAAATATTAAATCTCATATAAATAATTTATTTATTTATCAAAATATAAAAATCAACAATAATTTTAAAAATTTCTATTTCAGTACATCAAATTCCCCGAAGGCGATCAGGAAGTGAGGGAAGCTCAGAATGCATTCTTCAGGATTGCATCCTTTCCTAAGGTTGTTGGGTGCATAGATTGCACACATATCCACCTTATTGGTTCAAAGTTGGGAGATAATGAATATATCTATACTAATAGAAAGGGGAGACACAGCATCAGCACACAACTGATATGCTCAGCTGACTACCGGATCTTGAACGTGGTCGCTAGATGGCCTGGAAGCCACCATGACTCCAGAATACTAGCATCAAGCAGGACCCCCCTTCGATTTGAGGAAGGACGGTATCAAGGAATACTCCTAGGTGATTCCGGCTATGGCCAGAACGCATGGCTGCTTACACCCTTTCTCAATCCTCGAAATCAAGCAGAGAGAGCATACAATGAGTAAGAGGCACTATATTTTGTTACTTATATTTAAAAAGTTTACTGTAATAAAATTATTTGAAAAATAATCAGAAAATAATCAAGTCTTCTTTACTTAAATAGAAACAAATCCTGTAATGTTTTTAAATTCAATTTCACTTCTATTTTTTTTTAAATTCTAAACATATTTACATGGCCTAAATTGTATTCATCTCATCACTAAGGAAAGTATGAGAATAAAAAAAAGTTGCATAATTGACACTATTATGTAATTAAGATTTTCAATTTAAATATAGTGCTAAACTTTACTTCTAAAACATCTAAATCATCAATAGTATTTACATGCATTATGTCAATAAATTTTCTATTTCAGTGCTCACTGCTGTACCAGAGTCAAAATCGAAATGGTGAATGGGCAACTTAAGAATAAGTTTCGGTGTCTGATTGGACACGGCATGATACTTAAACCTGAACGAGCATGTGATGTCATTACAGCGTGTTGTGTGCTGTTTAACATTTCCAAACAACTGAAAGGTAAATAGGGACTTTTAGTTGCAAAGTCAACCCTTACAGCATTTTCACATTTAATTCAATATCCTCACTTGATATTGAATAGGACAACTATTCATACCTTGATACCCAATCCTTCTATGAAAGAATCAAATTTTCTTTCATCAGTCTCCACATATATTTTTAAGTCTCTGTACAACAGAAATGGAAAAAAGTGTGTAATAATGTGGACAAATACATCATTTTATATGTGATAGATTAAAATATTCAATTTGCATATATAATATATCCTCTCGCACGTTTTTCTTAGGATATTAGTGGCAAGCCTATATCTTTTATTTTTAACAGAAAAAAAAATCAAGGAAAGGTTAAAATCCACAATTTAACTCCTTTTTAAAGTCAATTTTTAGTTTAGTTACATGCAGGCCTTTATTTATACCATTACTATTTTCCCTTTATTATTGGCCATTACTTACAATTTTGCATACCCCTAGTTATATTTTTTTGATATCTATTTATTGTTTTAGTTATTTCTTCAGGGAAATCTAAACAAATGTTTCATATCTTTCATCATACAATGTAGAACCAAATATCCTACATGATGAGGAAGAGATAGTCGCAGCTGACTTAGCACAAGGCCGTGACATTGACAACGCTGATGGAGTTGCTTTGAGAGCAACGATTGTTAACAGATTCTTCACCTGGTATGGTCACTAGTTACTCTTACAATTTTGGAAATTGTTACTATAAATAGTCAAGCTCACCTGTAATTTAATACTAGCAATACCACAGATTAAAAGATAACTAAGACCAAATGCATAAAGGAACACATATGATGATAAGTATCAAAGAAATGACAGTGGACTTTCATACAAAGGATAACATCCCAAATAAACTTTAACCATTTTGTATCACTCAATAAGAAGGGTTGCCTTAACAAGGGATGCGAATAAAGTCAAGATTAAAATCATCATAACAAGGTAAATATCATACAATTTGCTTGAAATAAGCATTTTTAAAATTTTAAGTTGATATCAAAACATTTCTTTTCAACTGCCCAATAGTCAACGTAAATTAAAGTGAGCATTTTTTTTTGGAATGAGATATTAAACAAACACATAATGGCTTTTGACTCACATTCATTGCTTCAGCCCAAACTTAGTACATCAGGTTTATGAAAATAATTGTTGAAAAGCATGCTGCTCAGTCATTCATGGCAGCAATATTGTAAAAATGGTAAGATTAGACAAAGCACGAGTCAATTTTCACTATGAAATATTCAAGATTACAAGATTTCCCATCACACATCCAAATACCTTATTTCTGGTACGTAACAGTATTTTCATGCATTACTCGTAATGATGCACTCTTGATATCGCATGAAAATAGTGATAAATCGCTGTGATTACTGTTGGGGAAAAAAAAGTACACAAAAACACACAACGCTGTGCATTTGAAATGGGGCCTGAACGTAAGGTACAGTTATAATTGAATGTTCAATAATAGTGAGAATTGGAATGTCAATAACTTATGAACAGATAACACTATTCCATTTTTTCAAGAACTTTGTCAAACTTCTCCAGATGTTTGTCAAACTTCATATCAAATTTCTGTAGGATTTCCAGTTGTAGTCTTGCTAAATACAACACTTCATTAGCAGTTTGAATACTCTGATCTTCTTGCAGAGGTGCTTTGACAGTTGAACATCGAGGGCTGCTTGTGGTCTTGGAGGAGCTTGAAGGTGTGAGTTTACTGGAGGAGCGGGTCGTAGCTGATTTTTGGAAGCAGTTTTACGAGCAGGTTGAATATCGTTAGATCTCTGTAGTGGAATCATAGTTGCATGTTGATTTTCCTCTCCATGAACAGGGACACGAGCTCCCTCAGGAACTTGACTTGTAGATGCCTGGCAGGAGGGACCATCACCCAATTTCTCACCAACTGCCATCTCTTTCAGGACTGCTGTTGCTGTTGATTCACACTGTCAATAAGAATAATTCAATAGAAAAAGATGCAGTTTTAGCAAAACTGGACATTCTACTGGGCTGCATCATAAGAGAGTGATTGTTAATCCATTGTCACAGACATACCATATGCATTATTCTTAGCACTTTATCTCTTGGTTAATCATTTAAGTTATTATATAACTTTGTGGAAAGCTTTAAAAAGACAAAAATTAAAGTGAACCTATTGGAGAAATTTGAAGTTGGTAGTATTGTATCAAAATGAACATTTTAATTCACAATTCTTGTCAAGTAGATGATTTTTGTTAACTCTTTAACATATTACTGTAGTTATCTAATAGAAAAAGCATAATCAACATTCATAAAGAGAATGTTAGTGCAGGGGTTGTATCCGGGTGTGGAGATCTGGAAAAACCTGAGTTTCTCATACTACATTAGTATGTATAGAGGATGTTTGTAAGCATCTATGGTTTATTAAGTTTCAGAGCAGAGATTGTAAATTACCATAATTTTTTTTAAACATGACTTTGTAACCTCTCTATGTCATGGCATCTTATGTTGTATTGCAAAAGTGATGAGACTTCTCCGTAATTAGTGATTATAAAATTGGACCTACAACAGATTGAATTTTTAAATTGAGTAAGGTTTTTTTAGAATTAACAAAGCACAGGCAAATATTCAGCATTAAGGCTTGTCAAGCTTTCAATGTGTTATGCATGCATTGTTGTCAGTTCAATGGACAACGCTTAATTATTTTGTGGAGTTAAGAATGTAAAAATCAAGTGACTAAATGTCCAGGCCTTTGGATTGAGAGAAAGAGCTCTTGTACTCTTATTGGATCATTATGTTACTTTGGTCAAGTTTGAAGTGATATTGCCATTTGAATTCTTGTCAAGTTTATCAATTTATGTATTTTAGACTATTAACATAGTGGAGTATAAATTTCTGGGCTACAGAAAAACCTAAATAAGGATATATGATGTACAATTTTTTTTTTTTAAATCATACTTTATTTTGTTTAATGCGTTATCGCATAATTCTGAAAGTAGCATTACTGGTTTAATGGTATGAATGTTCTTGTCGATCTGTATAGACATGTCTTTAATTGAGTTTCTTTTTCACTTGGTTATTTGCATTTTTCTGCATTTGCAGATTACTTCACCCCTCCCACTCAAATTCCATGTACATACAGAATAACTGAAATGACAAATAAACTTCCACTCACAGCTCTACCACTGTGAGTCTGTTTCATTTTTCGTAATTGGTTTCATATTTCATCTATGATTGATTTTGAATACATTCTACATTATACAAATTTTAATGCCTTATATCTTGGATAAATTCAATGTATTAGGTTGCGTAATCAAAATAATTTAATAAGAGGTCCCCAGAAATATAAGAAAAAATTACCTGGATTTCATCGCTACTTTGGGAAGACTGTGACTGTGACGATGGGGCTTCCCCCCCCCCCCCCAGCCTCACTTGACTGCGGTAGAATGCCGACTACAACCTCCTTGGCCAGAACGGTAATCACCTGCTCGTAAATATGATTAACGTTACATGGGCCTCCTCCTGTGATAGATTAGAATTTTTTTTTAATCATTGTCGAATCATATAGAAGTGTTTTGGCATGCGAATTACAAGTCATGAAAATCAATGTTTGTCAAGTTTCTCCTACATCAAAGTGGTTGTTTTAAAGGTATAGTTTCGTTTTGGAAGCGCCCCCCTCTCAAAAAATGAAATGGAAGCTCTATTACCAACCACGTACGTGAAAGAATATGTTTTGACTAATACCCGATGATACAAATTTTGACAGGAAACCGCCTACTAATTGATATATTTGGTAAATTATCATATTTATCCGGCCTGAATAGATATCACGTAGTCCAATATACATCTTTCTGTTTACAGTACTTGGAACTTTACCAAGACTGGGCCACATTTCTTATCATTTTGATGATTCCAGAACCTTGCAGTATACACCAATAGTACTCATATGCTAGATGATCAACCTTTTCTGATCAATTCCACAACGTTTCCTTCATAAATGCAATCGCATGACCAGAACTGGCCTTTACCTTTTAAGTGGACTTTAGTCAACAGGTTGAATGCAACTGCATCTCTAATATGCTTCCACCTGTAGGTTTATTCATTGATGAATACTCATGTTATCTTTATAATCTGACGTCACAAACTCACACTCTTTCATTGTGGTTGAAAAAAGATAGACAAACAATAACATAACTTGTCTGGCACCATTTTGATTAAAGTAAATATATGACATCAAAATTTTATTATGTGCCACACTGAAACAGTGTATTATCATCATTGAATGTGTTTTGCCATAGACATTAAGGGTTAACTAATGCTTACCAGTACCTCCTCTCATTCTCAAGTAGTTCTGCGTTTGATGTTTCAGTCTTGCCCACTTTTTTTTTAGGTCCGACCACTCTCTTTTTGGGCCACCGGCAGCCCTCAATGCCTCAGCGGCCCTCCTCCAATATTTTTTTTTACGAACTTCTACCTAAAAAAATGTTAAATAGGAGAAACAGAAAAAAAAATTGAGAAAATTAAACCTTAAGTAGAAAAATGAAATCTAAAGTAGGAAATTAAAAAAAAAAAAAAAAAAAAATTGTTAAATTTCGATGAAGGAAACGTCAAATTAGAAACTCTGCTATGTATTTCATGAGGTCGAATCCCATTTGTTCTGCAATAGGAATTAATGACTTTTAATTTTCTTTTTAATTTAGGAACATATTTGGGTAATTACATGGGATTGACGCAATTTTTACTACACACCAAAAGTGAGACACTATTTCTCTTACACCATGATCTTTGCTCTGAGTTTAACTCATGTTTAGGAGTACTCTACCTTAAAGGTACTATGTCCCTTTTGCAGCCAACCTCAAATGCTGTATAACTTTGCAGGAATTATGAATATGTCATGTATGTCCTATCTGTGAAATTTAAACGTTAGCAGTATCCTCATATTCAAATTATGCAAGGAAACCCGTTTACTTGCTAGACTTCACTGTCAGACACTATTGAGTGACTGACTGGCTTTTTTTCTTCTTTGGTAATAACATACATGAAAAGAGTTGTAAAGGGTACATGAGCATTTGTCTACATCAATAACCCACTTCTTGTGATGGCCAAGATTAAACTGATTGAATCTTTGCACAGCATAAAACGTATGACCATTCGGTACAATTGTCTGAAAATCAAGACTATTACTTTTGGGCTCTATAGCCCTAAAGTCGATTTGACAACTAATAGTCGTTATTTTCCCACTTGAAGACATTTTCAAGCCCCACCTTCTTTAGGGAAGTTCTAAATTAGTATTATCTTTCAAATGCAGTTGGAATTTAACTTTTTCATTTTTTTGGCCTGCAAATGGGACATTGTACCTTTAATGGTGAATCAGTATTATAGACCCAAAAGTATTTATATAAAAATTCATGTAACTCGACCTGATAAAAAAAAAGAGGAAAAGTATACAGCATTAAGCAATAACTTTGAATAGAAGCAATTGAAACAGGCAATATTCTGGCAGGAACTTAAATATTCATACCACCCCCCCCCCCCATCAAAACACAACAAATTACAGTAAAAATACATGTAAAGACTACATGCTCAATAAAATAATTTATCCACCAGATAGTTCACTACAGTCTAGAAACTTACTCTCGTCCCGCTGTGTCCTGCACGGGAAAACAACTTCTTCCAATTGTCCCTGATGAAATTAATCATCATCAGGGTTTCCCAATCTTCGAAATTGCCAGCTCTGGACTGTACATATAATGAAAAGAAAAAAATGGAAATACAACTAGACACAAGGATAAACAATTTTTGATTTAAATTCAGATGAAAGTGAGGCCTACAATAGCATTATGGACTTGGGATTCGTTTTTAAACACAAGCAGAATTAATTTTCTTAATTATAATTAATGAATTCCCAATTTTTTCCCCTGGCCCCGAAACCAACGACAAGACAGTCATAACTTTATCCGCCAACTACGGAGATGTCTCTGATCTTCCTAAACCGTTTCACCAAGAGCTTACTAGATAGATATCTCGTGAGATCGATACTATCGGCGAGAAGAGGAGCCACGACTTAGCCTTAGTCGCAATACCACCGGATAATATTACAAAAGTAATATCAGGGAAAATGCAATTATTGAAATGAATTAGTAATAAAATATATTGAAAATGATACCAAGAAACAAGAGATGCAATATACTTCAAAATTTGTGTAGATTATACAACAGAAGTACTTGTAAAATATAAGTATAAGTAGACTATAAGTAGTCAGGATGTTGTCGTTGATCTTGGCAAAGAGGGTTTTGTGAAACAGATGTAGCGGACAAGTTGCTCACTAACGCTGATTTAATCAAGAAGTTAGACTTAGGTCTATGACGATTTCTAGGAACGGGCCCCAGATAGAGCCTACATGTAGCTAGAGGTCAATATGTATATCATTAGCATCGACTCTAGGCTCGAGTCTATGCTTTGTTGGAGTGGGTCTACCGTCTACACCCATCTTTTGATGGGATGATTTTTTTGTTTCATGATTTCTAATTCAGTGCCATTTGGATGAGAAGAATGACATTAGATCTATCTTTCATTTCATATTAAAGTTGTTTTCCTCTGTTAATCACAACCAAAAGAAGAAGCGACCGGAAGACTAACAGGACTACCTTTTCTTCCGTATAGATGTAGATCTAACGTTAGATCTACTGTTGATGTTGATGTCAACACTCTCGTGATCGATCGTGTACGTGTCGGGTAAAGTGCCCTTACCCGACACGAGATTATACGAATGGGACTACATTTATCTTCGGTCGTCTGCATTAAAATTTAGAGCTAATTTACGATGCAATATTACAAATATTAATAGAGAAATGAAACTATCATCTAAACAATCGAAATAACCCGATGATTATCTAATATTTAAAAAATGTTTCCGATTTGAAGATATAATTATTAGATAAGAAAACCGGATTTTACTTACCTTTCCACCACTCTTCGGGCCTTTTCCTCCCTTTTCAGTCGACGCCATTTCGCGGGATAATGGATACAAATTTGGTTAGGCTCGTTCGCATATATGTAAATCAATTAAATTTAATTTTAGCTTAAAATCGATTTGATGAAACAGCTCACACGTATCGGTTTTAAGCTAAAACTGATTTGGCCTTAAAATTGATTTTTAAAATCGAAATCGATTTAAGTTGATGAAACACCCCCCAGGTCATTTCTGTCGCCAATATTGTTGGAATGGCTTCGTATAAACACCGGAAGTGTGGCTCACGTGAACAGATAGACATCTTGAGCTGAGCAACATGTCCTTTGTCCTTCAAGGATTGGTTTCATGAAAGTGGCCATGCAGAGTGACCAGTACGATAATTGAACCTCTGCCCTTCATAAATTTAGACCCCTCCAATCCGAGTACCATCTACACGGCATTATACTTTGCACAGTCACAATGTGAAAAACATATAACTTAAGAATATGTGCAGTAACATTTAACCAGCCCTCGTACATCAAGGCAGCAGAGATTGTAGCTTCTTCTCAAGACCTAGGAAAAGTAATCGTCCGTTTTGATGGATTTCACCTCCTCATGTCATATCTCGGCAGCATATAGTCCACGTCATGGGCATAAGTATGCTTGTAGAGCTATAGGAGACAGTGTACTCCAAAGGGTCTGTCATACATATGCAATCTGGTCATGCATTTTCCCCTTCTCTTCGTGCTAACATTCTTACTTCAGCTGCCCTCATTTGCGTGTTGATGGGTAAACCTGGCGTCTTAGACAGCATATATAAGGACCACTTAGCGAATCTGTATGGTGCACTCCTCAACCAAGACAAGAAGGTGACTGCTGTACCTGAGAAGAGTGTGTCAAACAGTTAACGTCAGATCATTTCACAACTCATTGAATGGGCAGCAGGACACAGTAGGACAGGGAAACTTTGGTTTCAGTAAATCCGACATTTATGTGTCTCTTCTGCAATGTTTCATTTCAGCTGAAAGGACAGTGAACTGGAAGCTCCATCTCAGCTGTGTGAGGGAAATTATACAACATTTCCATGCTGCAGGACATCTTTCCTAGTTCAATTATGCCAGGATGTTTTACAACAGATGGAAGCTCTAGAGCAAACCATGCCAGGAAATGAATATACACAATTCGCAGAAATGCGATACTTCACCATCTGCCGTGTGGATTCATTCTGGGGTGGAATCTTTTCTGATCAGACCATTGATGCGGCAGCTGAAAACATCTAGAGAAATTACTCGTGGACGTAGAATCACAGACAGTACATTGGCTATTAAAGTGGGTTCATGCACTTCCTCACTGTGTTTCTACCTGTGCTGAACTGGAACAGTTCACCGGAGTACACACTGGTACACCAGAGCAGCATAAAGACATACAGCAAAGTACCAGGTCAAAAGACTATAAAGAAAGATGTATCTTTGTTGGATGGCTGCAGGCACATCACCATTTGCTTGATACGAAACTAATTGCCTGGTCTCCTTGTTAACTGGCATCGCCGCTGGCTTATCTGTTAATTGTGATTAACCTGTACAAATCGGCCTAGTAGCGGTATCCGAAACGAATGCATGGTAGGAAGTTTACAGAATTCAAGCTACGTACATCGTAAGGACAAGGTGAAGACCATTGGTGCCAAGAGTAAGATAGTGAAAATCAGGGGACAAAGCACATAAGTCAACCCAACACTACTGTTCAACAGAATAACATGTGTCCTGAATAACAACACTGATATGGAATCGGTCTTTGCTTATGAACATATTCCCACGCATTTTCCCTTTCAAAGGTGGGGTGATGCGGAAGCCAACAAAGAGTTCTCTGGGTCTCCTGCTGAATTCGTTCTCCAAGCAATCCAACGTGCCAGAAATTGTCTCTTTGTTTAAGATGGTGGTCGCCTACAGCACCCTTAAGCATTATGGAGCTCATTTGACGGTGGTGTTCGATGGATATGGAAGTGCAACTTCGACAAAGGTAGCTGAGCAGAAACAAATAGCCCAAAGATGTACCTCTTTATTTGATGATAACAGATTATATGCCAACAAGCACAACCCAAAGCAGCTTTCCTTGCCAACAGCAACAATAAGATGAGACTTATACAAACTCTACGTGACAAAATACGTACCGGTATCAAGCAGACAGAAGCGGCTGCCACTAACCTGATTGTTTCTACAGCACAAGCAGTAGCAGAGTCAGAACAGGTGCCCGTTGTTGTCGTTGGTAAGGACACAGATTTACTGGTCATGCTAGTTGCTACGGCAACCACTTCCACAGATATGCACATGCTATGCCGCAGAATCCTGTCACGGTCTTCAACATTCATGAAATTCAGCATGCCATAGGGGACACTAGAAATTGCCTGATGTTTCTTTAAGCTGTGACAGGGTGTGATACGGTCTCTGCAATCTACCGTCAGGACAAGCGTAAAACTTTCAATATGGTCCACAAGAAACTTGACTATGGCTTGCTTGATACATTCGCAGTGGAATCACCCATGACGAGGTAAAACAAGAGCCGGGAAAGCCTTTATGGGGCCAGCAGTTCTTGATGACTACCGTCACGCTGCATACAATTAAACGGGCAATTGGTCGCAGTTCTCTGAGTTCATCCTTTCGGTTAAAAAGTCTACTTCCAACTAGTGCTGCAGCAAAGCAACATCCATACCGCACCTCTTACAGTCATTATGTTTAGCGACCTGGGTACTAATGTGTCTACATTTTCAGTTCCATCTAATGTCTCTCTTCACGGTTGCACACTGTCAGTCTGATATCGTTGAGAATGATGGAAGCAGCCATATGTGTATATGGGTGTGTGTGTGTACTTTATGCATAAGACAAATGTGTTAATTATACGATTTGTGTACTGATATGTATTTCAATGGTGCCTTTCTAGTCTAGACATTAATATATTCATTACGTATCTACTTACAATGAGATAAATTTGGAAATAATGGCCATTTTGGGTTCCATTTTGGATTTCGGGAAGAGCTCAAGTGGTTTTACTGCTACTTGTGTGTTTCAAAATTTGTTAATAACTATTTGGTTGAGTTCTTTATACTGAAAAAAATATATTTAGACATTTAAATTTGGTATTTGGGTTATCTAGTTGCAAAGTTAGAAGAAATACAGGAAATGGCAGCAATTTTGGGCGCCATTTTGGATTTCAAAAAGGGCTAAAAGTGGTTTATAGCTACTTGTGTGTTTAAGAATTTATCAACATGTATTTTATTGAGTTCCTTATGCTAAAAAACATATATTTAGACATTTAAATTTTGTATTTGGGTTATCTAGTTGCAAAGCTATAAGAAATTCAGGACATGGCGGCCATTTTGGACGCCATCTTGGATTGTGGAAAACGCTCAAGAAGGATTTATGAGGACCTTTAGTATGTTAATCTAAACATATTCCTGGACCTATCCTGGAAAAATCATCTCGTTACCAAAAATGTCCATGTTAAAACTAATGCTCTTGGCCTATCAACTGACATTAGTCAGAAGAAGAAATTATTGTTTTACTAACCTGAATGGCAGTCTTGACTCTCTTGGTAACCACGTGTGATACAGGCTATGACAATATCAGCATTATCAACGGCTCCTGCCATGGCATCGATTTTATCACCCTCTGAGACAAGAAAGAAAAGGAAGAATAAGAAAATGGGAGTAGAAAGTAAAGAACAAGAAAGGACAAGAAGAAAAGGCAACAAGTAATAGCCAGCAGCCATGGTGGTCATGAAGTAACGCTCAAATATTATTCAAAAGTGAATTTCCTGTAATCTCCTGCTCTAGCTACCTTAGGAATGCACCATCTTAAATAATCTGTTGCAACTTTGAATTAATCACGGACAAAGGCATGCATTAAGATAATGCAAATCACTTTATGTTTAAAAATTGTCATTCATCCTAAGAGTGGTGTCTGCAGATAAACTTACTCATGCGGTCTTCATCCATCCATACGCTGTAGCCTCTCTTGCACAGCTGTTTCTTGAACTCTCGCATGACTATTTTGGACGGATGTTCCCATTTGTAGCTGAGCATGATGTGTCCACTGGACTTCGCACTGTCCGACGACGCCCTCTGCGCTGACTCGTGATATTTTTCTCTGTGCGACGGGCCTTCGGGGAGTCGGGATTCGTATATTTCGAAGATAGCCCCCTTACATGCATTGCGAAGTTTTTCGTTTTTACAATAGGAATTCTCCGTCAGATCTTGTTTGTTAATAAAAGAAAATTAGGAATGTTAACACATACATAACGCCCTTTTATCTCTAAACACAAGACAAGTTTCCTCTCGTACAGTGGACCCAGTACGTCACTGCACAACGTTTCATATTATTTATGCCTCTACTTCTCAAAAATTGAGCTTGTTCTCTACTCATCATAACAAAATACTTAATTGATCACACACCCCTTCCCCACCCTCATTCTTTCTATACAGATCGTGGTGGTTACCCGAAAATATGGGGGGGGGGGCTACTCTTTTACCCCTCCCATTTCTTAAATGTCTGGTTTATGCATAATCAACAAAAAAAATCGTAATGAGGACACACCGAACGCTTATGGTAACAAGTTTACTAAAATAGTATACATTTTTTAGATATGAAGTTGTTTATATTCCCTTCCAATATTGTAATTATTATTAAAGAATGTAGAGAATACTTACTGTATATAATGCTCTGTTCTTCGCGCAGTTTTTCTGTATTTTTCTTGCGAAATGCTAGTCTCCAGATACCGTTGGCTGCAGAAGTCTTCGCATCCATTGACCAATCTTGTTGGAGCAATTTAGCGAGGATAGGAATGCCTCCCTTTTCTACTATGAGCCGTTTGTTGTTGTCATTGATTGCCAGTTCATCTACAGATTCAACCAGCTCCTCTACATCAATAGTTATCACGATCGGAAGGATCTGCTTGGATGATTGTCGCGTTGCCTTTGCCTTATGATCAGGATTGGAGAGACATTCATCCAACAGCGAAAGTAGTGTTACGATACATGAGTGATTGATGGAAAGCGTGTAGGCCTCTTCTTTCTTCACCAGCTTCGACAACGTCATGAATGCTACTGTCTGTGTCAAGCTGTCTTTCGACTCGCCAAACTTTTCCAAGGCAGGCACTGCTCGGTGATGCTTAGGTACCAGGGACGGCACGCTTCTGCAGGCGTTGAACAATGTACTCATTCCATCAAACATCATGTCATCTACCCATAT